ACTCATTGAAGCTACTGTCTGAGTTTAAACATGAAGATAACTGATTCAAAATTTTATAGATTAAATAAGCTTACCTCGAATGTTAATTCGCCTGATCGACGTTTATCAAAAACTCGAAAACATAATTGAGCATATGCACTGGATGCTAAACAAATGTGTTGAGCAACAGAAGGAGAAAAGAAACAATGAAAAGTGAGAGTTTATGATACCTGATTCAGTGAAATTAGCATTCTCACTACATAACTGTTGTACTTATATTTTATGTTTTTGTTCCACTGTTTTCAGTCAAAACTTACGCGATTAGTCTAGGACAGTCTTACAATTGTGGAATGCTCACCAGGCACGCAAGAGATTCGGAATCGATATCTAGTCACTCTGTTCACAAACATCTCGTAATCTAATAGAAGTTGGTAATAAGCCGGGAAAAAGGAGAAGGTTATCAGTGGGATTGACAGCATCTCGCAGTTAAAGCAGCACAGTCTTTCTTGAAACTTCAAAAGCCTGAAGCCCTGTATCTTTTCGAAATGAAAAGGAGAGATAAAACATTCCACAATAATCTAACTAATATGGCAAAATAATAATTTATTAAATGGTTGAAGGCGACTGTCAGGAAGCCTTAGACTTAGATTTTTTGATTATTTATACTCATCGATGAGAGGTATCTGTGATAATGATGAAAACGTTTTCTTCCCCTAGATGTGAACCTACACTGTTGCAGTTAGACACACTAAGACTGAGCTATTCAGGTAGAATGGTAATAGATATACTTATGGTTGGTCATTAGCGTTCATTCTTTGTCATGTGTCTAGTCCTAAGTTTACTAAAATGACGTCTTACCATGAACTGGAGAAATGAGCACAGTTGCGTTACTATTCAGTAAATAATCAATAAGTGATGCTAATGTTCCTGGGAAGAAAATGATATCCATGGATGTTAGGTCCCCTTTAACTAATGTTTCTATCCCAGAAACCATTTGCTTTATATGCAAATGCATTGGGGATAATAATGTAGACTACTTAAATGAACTTCTTTTGAGGTGTACTTTCCATGTCCAGTAGAAGTTCAACAACACGCTCTATAGACAAAGAGATGGAGTGGCAATGGGGTCACCATTTCGTCTTTTAACTGCACACTGCTTGCTGGCAAGTCTAGAGAATAGTATGTTACGACCCACTATTGATAGTTCCCATTCGTACAAACGATACATGGATGATACTTTCATCATATACCAATATCGAAATGATAGCTGAAGAGTTCAACGACTGCCATCATGCCATCCTATTCCCGTCGGAATCAGAGATGAACCCAGAATCCCATTTTTTGGATGTTTTGCTAAAAAGAAGGTCTGACAGTTCTCTTCGGTGGTAAGTCTACAGGAAACCAACACTTATTTTCATAGTTTTGTCCCTTTGAGAAAAAAGAGAAAAATGATCCACTGCTTATCCTCAAGAGTAAGAATGATATGTTCAAGTGATACAGTCAACAGGGAAGTGCAGCAACTCAGACAAGTCCTTATAGAAAATGGATAACCTACAAGATTGCTCGAGAAATACATTAAATAAAAGCGAAAGCCTAAAAGAACTCAAACTATGCCAAAGAAACCGCTATTTATGAACCTTGAATTTAAAGGTGACACTGCAGCTGAGATTCTGAAGAACCTCTTATTCAGATGATTGAGGAAAGCCTTCTTTATGGCTGGACTATAGATCGATTTCTACGGCCGACGAATGATCAGTGGATGTGTGAAGGATAAACTGCAGCTTTAGTCCACTTCAGTGTGTGTTGATAAGTTCACCTGGCCGCACAAAGTGCACACTTTCCAAAAACATTTCCGAAAATTACGCGGCATGGTTAGCGAAATGACAATGCAAGACAGTTACTAGCTCAATTCTCGAGCACTTGATGAACTGAAGTCACGCAGCTCCACTGAAGTTTTCTTTCAAGATCATCCACAAGGTGAGGCCAAATGGTACAAAGGGCACCAGGTTTCGGCATTTGTGTAGGGCGGAGGCGCTGGCGATTCGTCAATACAACTACGAACTCTGTATACAAAAACATTTTGTCCAGTCTCTTACTCTACCTTGGTCGTAACCTCTTCACTAGTTGTTCCCTGTAAAAGAAATTTAATTTTTTATAAATTTTCAATTTTACTTTTAGTTTGCTTTTGCTTTAATAAGTATTTCACTATTATCACTCTCATATGTCCCTAATGTACATTTTCACACCCTCTTCACACTTGTTAAATTGACACTCAACTACCTTCATCCTCACTAAATAGCAATTTTAACCTTATCAAATTTCTAACTTTTTGTGCCGCTGAGTACCACGTAATTTACAACTTTTATTTCTTACTTCTAAAGCCACTTCTGAGTAATTATGTCAATTATGTCACCTCCTATCACTCAGTAATAGACTACTATACATTTGTGGTAAAGATAAATACGACTGTACAGCCTCTGAAGATGATTTCGTCGATAGAGAAAAGTTTCTTCGCTGAATTATCTTTTAATATTCTAATTGTAAAAGCTCTGTGGTTAGACAGAAATAAAATCTAATTTAACGCTGGGTGATATTCGGGTAAATAGTGTTCAGACGAATTTGGAAAACATAGAGGTGAATAAGACATATCTAACTAACAATAACAAGTGCCAATCACCATTAAAGGGAGAAATTTGCTGAAAGTCACCTCTCTCACTTATCTAGACAGCATCGTTTCAACTAAGGGTGACACTCATAAGAATGTCAAAGCTAACTAGGATTGACGAAGCAAGAGGGAACATTATTATTGTGAAATTAGTGCAGAAGTCCGCTGCAATTAGTATAAGGAACAAGATCGACACGAGTGTCAAATCAGTTAGTTCTTCTATACGGTTCAGAGACCTGAAGCACGATTCATCAAAAGCATTTCCAACAGTCTTTTGCAGACTTTCACCAACACCTACCTCTTCTGTTTAATACTGAGGGTCAGGCTGCCAGCCAGAAAACAAACTATTTAGACGGATCATCGAAGAACCAGTCGCTCAGAAAATAGGTAGCGGGAAATGGAGATGGATGTGAAATACGCTGAGGAGATCAGTACGCTACATAGTACGACAGGTCGTGGAGTGGAGATCAAATGAGAAACGTTAATTTGAGCAGCCAAATGGACAGAACTTTCCGTATAAAAACGATTAATGCCGGAAACATGAATTTATTGACATTAGTCTTCAAAATGGCTATTCATTATTGGTACACTCCCTCTAGACACTAAGGACAATAAAGAATAGGAAGTCTTATGCACTCACGTGAAAATGACTGAATTCCATGAGAATTACACATTTATCTTCAAGGCCAGCACCTGTTATTCCTGTTAACGATGCAGTCTCGCAAAAGTAGATAAATTTGTTTAAATCGTGCTTTATTCATGTTTATAATATTTTAAGTCTTCAAAAACAGTTTTACACTCCTCTGTTCTATTCTATTCACTTCTTTTTACTCAGTATCAAATGTTTCCTGTCTCCATGCTCAGCTTGATAAATATTGATTCACTGAACATTTTTTTTTTACGTGTTATGCAATCAAGCCAAAAATAATCACGATTATTAAATTTATATTGTTTATGTCTGTTAACAGTCATTGTTTTCGACAGTTCAGTCCTTAATTTATTTTTCATGTTAGCGCGTGTTTTAAACTGGAGGTTATTCAGTACACTTCTGAAGCTGCATGAAGTGGGATCTCCAAAAGAAATACTCTTTTACTTGGATAAGTAATTCTTTTCTTCTCACGCTGAAAAAACCTGTTCTTTTAATATCATTAAAGATAAGTTGGTCCAGGTTGGTGGTTACTTGGGTGACCGGCTAGGAATATGGAGTATGGTCAGATTGAAGCCCTAGTAAACTAGTTAATAAAATTATTCCCTCCTAATAAAGCGAAAATATTCATTCAGAAATCTATAAAACATAAAATAATTGAACGAAGAATGTCCTTTTCGATAACTTCCTCCTCCTCTCGCTCTACAATTATGCATATGTTTATATACATAGAATATTCTAGATTAGTAGTCAATAACAGCATTAGTGTTTTTTAAATAGAATCGATTTGTAAAGTAAGATCAATGGAATTACAGTTCATTAAGGATGCTTAAATTATAGTAATAATAAAAATATGATAGAAAATAGAATATCAACTAAAATTGGGGAAATTTCTACAAAAATTGAGAATCATTCAAACCTAGATGACCAAGGTAAGGATAATGTCTGAACTAACAAACGCAATCTGATAGAGTACTTGATTCACACAGCAAGAGCAATCTGCCCGGATAAATGTCTTGATGAGGAACATAATAACATTAAGCGGTTGCTGGGTGAAAATGGTTATCCAGAAAAGTTATTTGATAAGAATATGAATCTAAAATCAAAGCAGCTCAAGGTACTAACAGTTCCTTAAAGGCTTTATTCTTACAAATTCAGTTCTTTGAGGACAACATCAGTCAGATACTAAGATAACGCCTTAGAAATGCGGTAAAAATAGCATTCCCTGCTGCTGGATTACACTGTGTCTTCAAAACCACCCCTATTTTGCGTTCGGGAGTAAAAGATAAACTGCCTGATTTCAACTCTTCCATGTTTATCTACCAATTTAACTGCTCCTGTGGAGCCAGTTACATAGGCTGAACAATTAGGCGCGTTTCTCGTCGGATTTCCGAAAATCATCCTGCGTGGTTAAAAAAAGGACAAACAAAATCTATTTGTAGCGCTATTCTATATCAATCTTGTGGATACAGAACACAAGATTGATGTTAACCAGGCTTTCACGATCATTTACTGCATACCAACAAATCTTAACTTCGCCTTAAGAGTTCGTTTACTAAATATTGCTGAGGCTGTTGAGATCCATATTAAGAAGCCTAATTTGTGCGTCCAAAAGAAGCTAGTTCAGACATTGTCCTTACCTTGGCCATCTAGGTTCGAATGATCCTGAATTTTTGTAGAAATTTCCTCAATTTTAGTTGATATTCTATTTTCTATCATATTTTTATTATTATTATAATTTAAGCACCTTTAATGAACTTTAATTCCATTGATATTACTTTAAAAGTCGATATTATTTAAAATACACCAATATTGTGAATGACGACACTATTCTAGAATATTCTATGTATATTAACATATATATATATAATTTTAGAGCTAGAGGAGGAGGAAATTATCGAAAAGGATATTCTTTGCTCAATTATTTTCCATTCTCTCTTAGTTTACCAGTAGGTCTTAAGGGTGGAAAAAATAGGGGGTTTCGGCGTAGAGTTCGTGACTCTATCCTGGAAAATCAATCTACTCGTTAGTGAAACTTCCAGCGCACAGAAGAAATGTAAACAATAGACTTATGATACTGCTGGAATCGGGGAGATTTAGTGGTAACAGCTGATGACAGTCCTAGACAGGCTAGTCATCTGATTTGTTTTCTTTTGATGAAAGGCAAAATAAGCATGGCGACATGGAAAGTTCTCACGATGTTTGAAGCTTGGAAGCCTTGTGAGCTTAAAGGTTTAGACAGACATTTATCTCTGTGAAATCACTGTGGAAGTCAACTGCAAGCAGCACAGAAAACAGGATCTGGATCTTTAACACTAATGTCAGGTTAGTGCTTCTATTAGGCTACTGCTGACTTTCATCGACATCTAATTGCTCTCCACACTCAAGATCAGATGGCTGGCCAGCAACATGGAATTCTAACTGTTAGGCGAAACAGTGGAGAACCCATGGACCAACAAATATGCAGAAGAGAATGGAAGTCGATCGCACATAAGCTGTGGAGATCGTTGAGAAACATAACATGCCAGCACTTGAGTGAAGCGGGAATAGGAAACGGAGGGCTGGAGGCAGGTTCACAGGTGACATGGAGGAGATCGTGTGAGGAGGAGACTAAAAGCCATTCACGGTCTTGAACTCACTCCATTTAACAGGTTTGGTCTAATTACATATAAAACTTTAAGGGATTTCTTCAGTAGATCTGAGTGTTCCGAGTTCACATTGGTATTCTGTTGAGCAAATTAAAGGCGCAGTATATTAGCCAGACCAGGTAGTGATCACAAGCACATTTTGCAGCCGGACACAAAGTACGGTGGACGTATTTAATTTCGGCAGAATATACATGTGATGAATAATGACACAAACTAGCCAAAACTACAGGGAATTTTAGAAAAAACTGAATACTGTAAACGGATTTCAACTTTCGAAAGTCCAATGACCAGTTAGTTAATATTTAAAATATATTTCAGTTTTTACTGAATTCATTTTGGATTTCTCCGTTGATTGATTGGACCGAAGTGTTCGGCTTTTGTTGACATGTGGGCTGTTGATACGGATACTTTGACGATGTCTAAGGACTTCGGTCGGTCGATTTTCGACATAGAACTTTGCACATATGTGCGGCAGTTCAAGTCGCCACACTCCATGTCTAAGGACATTATTGGAGGTAAGCTGGTGAATGATGGCTAGCAGTGGGATGCTGGATGTGCATTGTGTCCTGGATGCACTTGCATTCCCTGGTGAGTGATGAAGGAGTTCCAGTCGAGGCTGGAACATTGCCAAGCCTATCTTTTCAAACGGTAAAGCATTATCCACAATAGGCTGAACACTTTGGTCCAACCACACAACGGAAATAGCCAAACTTAGTTAAATAACAGCTGATCCCCGTGGAACAACAGGCGGCTGTTATGACCCAGGGAGTCTAGTAGGTATCTTTGCCTGTCAAATGTCAAAGTGACTGCTCTAAACTTAATGGCTATCAGAAATCAGCCAGTGGTCCAAGGAAAACAGTCTTACTCTAACCCCTCCAAATGCCAAACAGTCGTTTTCACCTTTAGGCATAAATCTGACCTAAACAAACTAGTTGGCTATCACGAGGTGTGCAACATAGACGGCACTGAAATAGAAACCAAATCGGAAATTAAATACCTTGGCGTCATTCTATCTGTTGATCTCTCCTGGTCGTCTCACATCTTATTGATTTCTAAGAAAATATTCCGTCTTACCTTCTACATCAAGAACTTAAAATGTTCTGGTATAACCCAAACCCTACTCCTACAATTCGTTAATTCTCGCATTCTGCCTATTATTCTCTATTGTTCCTTCTTAGTTTTTCCCGGGCTACTGAAGAAAGACTATACCTTATTACGCAGGATGTTAAAGGTTGTCAGCAGGGCAAGCATTGTGCCACCTAACCAGTTTGTTAATATTTTGGTCAACAGGCACTTGGACTCATGTGAAAAATGGGCCGAATCCATTCTATCTAATTCACACCGCCCTCTTCACTCACAACTCTCCCCTTGTATCTCATCAGGCAGGAGCCAGAAGCCTATATAGAAAACTATATGCTCGCACCAGCAAGTACAAAAACTCAACAATACCTTACTTAGCTCGTGTTCTGTGTGATAAAGAGAGCATTAGGCGTGACACCTATAATTCATTAAGTAGTCAGTAGAACAACTGGGCCTCGTCTTTCCAACTCATATAATTTATAGGAACAACATTTTCTTTCTTTTCCTTTTCTCTCTCTCTCTTTTTCCGTTATGTGCTGCTTTGTTTCTTTCTCGCGCTTGCGCCAGTAAATATGACAGATCCTACTTTTCTAACACCTTCAAACACTGTTCAGCTTTACCTTTGCTACCGACATGCCAATGTGTTGTTGTAATAATGAACTGAGATTTCCTTAATCTTTGTAGAATTCTATTTATTGATAATGTACTAACTGGATGCAGTACTGTAGTAAAAATGCTGAGAATTCCATTCTGTATCACAAGTACTGTTTTGGAATAAAGCAAATTATTATTATTATCATTATTAGGTAACTCGTTGGTGTTTTAAACGATGGGTATTAGGTTCGAGTCTCGCTAAGAACATCATCATTCACTGGGGAATGCAGATACATCCGGATGATGAGTCCTAAATAGAACGAAATGTGCGCATCTTGGATCCAACTGCTAGTCACCACCCACCAAATTACTTCAAATATTCCAGTTTTTCATGAAGTAAAACAGAGTATGTTGTATGCCGAAACTTCAAGTTTAAAGCACAGACAAGATATCTTTGATTTGATATAGAAAAAAACTACGCTTATGTTTCCCGAAACACTAACATATCAGTATCATATAAGTAAATGAGGAACTGAGTAGAATTAAAAAAATTTGTAACAGATGAGGTCCTCTGTAGGTTCGTTGACTGGACAAATATCTTCCGTGTGGAGATTTCAACATTCAACACAAGAGTCGCAAATGCTTCTGTGATGTGAAGAAGTTTGATTCGTACTCTTTTAGCAAGATCCCAGTGTATTCTGTAGATGACTTTTTTTAAATTGGTTTGTTGGTTAGTTTGGATATCCAGATTCTATCAGGACAGGTGTTCCAGAACAGGGCAACGGGAGTATCTTTTTTCTTTATTCACATCAGCTAGGAATACTTACCTGTTGAAGAGCATAACCTGGTTAGCAAATTCATGGATTTTTATTTCGTTCCTCTACGTTCCCAGTGGAACATAAGGCTTCAAGTTAGAGTTCTGGGTGGGATTACTGGTCCCATGCCCAACCTTCCTTCTTTACCTGCCTATCTGCCAGCTTAGAAAGGTTTAGGCGTGAGTCGGCTGGGGATCAAACCGCGGACCACATGTATGGCTGACGAGAAGTCTACCGCTGAACCACCAACGTAGAATACTCTTTTACTGTCTAACGAATATGTATTCTACATGTATTCATAGCTTTGGATTCCCAATGGAATCTAGAACTTCAAGCTTTAGTATAAGCGAAGTTTTGAATAGCGCTTTCTAGTTTTCACGTGACATAGTCGCTAGACCAAGGCGTTATCTACCACCTTTCGGAAGTACCATCAGCCCCAACGGGTTGATTTCTGACGAAATCTAAGTACGAATATGCCAGTTTACGCCGTCTCTGGCGTAGACGTGATATCCGACTATCGACCAAAGGGCATGTGTACTGCTCAGTAGTCCACTCCGTCCTCCTTTATGGCTGTGAGACCTGGCCATTGAGAGTGGAAGACATGAAAAGATTAGCTGTCTTTGATCATAGGTGCCTGCGTTCTATCTCCCGCGTGAAGTGGTATAATAAGGTGAGCAATATTGAGGTTAGGCATCGAGTGCTAGGTAAGGAGGGGAAATCAATCGACGAGGCTGTGAAATTACATCGACTGAGATGGTTAGGACATGTGTTACGTATGCCTAGTCATCGCCTTCCTCGACAACGGGAAATGTTAGCTGATATAGGGTCAGGCTGGAAAAGAGCTAGCGGTGGTCAAACGAAAACATGGCACCAGTCAATGAAATCCACAACAGTTAGTTTAAGCCACGTAGGAAGGTGTAAACTTCCTGGTTGCGATTTTTCGGGACGGTAAAAACTAATGGGTGGAAACTATTGGTGATATGGCTCAAAATGGTTCTCAATGGCTAGCGCAGATGCATCCACTCCTTGTGACTTATGATTTCCAATGAAACTATATTGTTCTTCGTTATTAGTATTCCTTTGTCTCACACCTCTGTTTACTGTCTCTATTATGCATTTCTCCTACTTTCTTCTCTTGCTTTGTGTGTTACAAGGAGGATGTGGCGACTTGAACTGCTGCACATCGGTGCAAAGTTCTATGTCGAAAACCGACCCGATGACCTTTTCAAGTTTCCTATCCTCTAGGTGGATATTAGGAGTGGGTCGGCTGGGAAGAAAAACCCATAATAATATGATAAAACATTGACGAAACAGTGATATTCAACAGTTAAAAATTATTTTGCTTGAAGGCATTTTCCAGACATTTACACTTGAGCAACTACTATTGATTTTCCCAAGAGTTTACATGCCTATCGTCAGACAACTCGTCCGTCCATCAATATTCTTCCAAAGGGAAATAAAAATTGATGCTATAACTAATACAAAGAGATAAGTTGAACACTACTCTACTCTGTTTTTCCCTTTCGCTCCAAAGATTTTTTGTAAACGAATCGGATAGGAGAAACAACAATAACATCCCATAACAAAAATAGTTGAGGCAACTTACCTCGATTAGGGAAAAATCTTTGATAAATTCCTACAAATGATTCTTTATTTGCAACGCCTGACGGACAAATCTGATAAGAAAGAATGAAATATATAAGTAAAAAACAAGTTTAAAAAATATGGAGAAAAAAATAGAGTTGATTATTTTTCTGATTGAAGTAATACTGCAAATAAGCCGAAACAGAGGTAGGGATTAAATTTGCCCAAATAAAAGAGCTATGTAATCTCATGAGGATTCCTTCTTCAGATATTGTAGTCTTATTTAGGCACATAAATAGATACCAAGGGAAAAGAAAACACGTGGTTCAGTGAAGAGACTCTTTTCGGCGAATTCATCTTTCTCTTTAGCTGCCAAATCGCATTTATATACGGGTTTTTTTCACGACAGAGGATAGTAAGTGATAAGTGATGAGTTGTCACAGACACGGTTGTTAATATTAATCAGTGATTTATATATTATTGTTCCTTGGGTTCCTAGTGGAACATAGGGCTTCAACTGTACGTCTCCACTTGCTTCTGTCTTCTGCTGTACTTTTCACTTGCATCCATGTTAGTCCATACTGTTTCAACTCTTCTTCACACGATCTCCTGCATGTCACCCTTGGACGTCCCACTCGCCGCTTCCCTTTCGGGTTCCACTCGAGCACTGACCTGACGCGCGATGTCACCCAACGGCCTCCTCAGCGAGTGTCCAATCCATCTCCACTTTCTCCTGCATATTTGTTGGGCGATTGGTTCTTGTTTCGTTTGTTCCCATAGTTTCTTGTTGGTGATTCTTTCCGGCCCATCTGATCTTCAGTATAAGAGCGAAGACAGTTGTTGATAAAGGTCTGCAACGCTGTTGGAAATATTCTTTGTGACCCGCCAAGTTTCTGATCCGTATAGAAGAAGTGACTCACTTGACGTTTGTATTGAAAATCCGAATTTTGTTGTTGATGCTGAGTGACGAAGATTTCCAGATTGGTTTCAGGTTGATGAATGTGTTTCTTGCCTTCCCGATTCTCGATTTGACATCCTCGTCCGTCCCTCCTGTAGTTGACACAATGCTCCCTAGATAAGTGAATGAAGTAAGTCAGTGGATGAGAGGAGCCAAATATTGCAGTGTATTGCAGTTACATAATAAGATGAATAACTTAATGAGTGAGTTGTAATCATGATGAAGATAAAAAACAAAGAAAACTATAAGAAAATGGTGTAAACGGTGAAGAAAAAATTTCTTTTCGACGATTCCTTTTCATAAGCTGTACAATATTTCTATTGTATGTTTGTTAGGATTTGATTTGTTTATACGAGTTGATCACAGATTGATATCAGTTAGAGAACCATTGAAAACCAGTACTGGAGTATTGGACAGTTGTTTCATCCTAGCTTGGGAATCATCGGCAGTACACACCCACTGGGGGGGTCTCAGTGGCTGAATGGTATACGAGCTTGCTTTGTAACCGGCAGGTCCTGGGTCCGAACCGTGGTGGTGGGTGCGTACTGCCGATGATTCCCAAACTAGGGTGAAACAGCTGTCCAGTACTCCCTGGCTGGTTTTCAATGGTTCTCTAACTGATATCAATCCGTGATCAACTCGTGTAATTATATATAACGAAGAATTTATAAAAGACCAGTCAGATACTGGCAAAGTTGTTCTAGAGAATGTATTACATAATGCAAGGTGTAATCAAGAAGGGAATGACTGATTGGAAATTAGAAAACGGAGCAGAGGTTGGGATGACGCAACAAGTATGAAAGAATGATTAATCGGTATAACTATGTTGTGTGAGAAGACTTTGCAGATTAGTTTCAAGGAGGCGTTTGTTGAGATGGAATAACCAGTGTTGACAAGATGCTCAACTACCGGACTCCTTATAGAGCCACTACTACTTGAACCCTTTTAGACAGAATACGCATCGAACGACTAGTATACCTGGCTCCACAAAAATAGGTGAACTGATGCTCATTTTCCCGATCAACGGAAAATCATAAACATGAATGCATAATTTCAAATGACACCCATTGCACAAGAAGTGGCTCACTAGCCTAGTGGATCTCTAATACGATGGGTTCTCAATTTAAGTCTCACTGTGAACAATATGACACACAGGTGTACTCACTAAGCGAGTCCTAAAAAGTACGGGATATGTGTCCTCGATCCCGCTCCCAGCCACATCAAACAAGTGACTCAGAGTTGTTATTCATGTTAATACTATGGCATTTTTTCGAGGAGTTCATTTACCGAAATGGCGAGAATTTATTCGATCCACATGCAACAGCAGATAACCCTTAGTATGAATAAATCCTACTAAATCAAGTCTGACCACTGGTCAATATCATTTAGTGAACCATTGAAACCAAGGGGTGCTTACAACTTGTTTCTTCCTAGTTTGGGACTCTCCGCAAGTACGCAGCACTTGCTCTTTTTTGGATAATGCCCTGGACCTTGAAGTCATGAAATGAGTCCGTTAATCATTCAGCTATTGGGACGAAGTTCACTAGCTCATGACCTCTAACTTCAGCGGATTCGTGATATGTAGTGGGACAACAAAACAATGTTATCGTTTAGTAATTTTCCTCATACCTGACTTGGTGACTACCTACTGAAATTCCAGGCAACTTTGTCTTCTAGTCAGTCACTAGTAAGCATCAGACTAATTTTCAGGAGTCAGCTTGTGGGACTTTGTTTAGTTTCAGTTTTGGTCACTGATCGATATAATTCGGTGAAGTATTAGAAGCCAGAGTGTACTGGATAGACATTTCGTCTTTTTTCAAACTCTTCAGTAGAAAGGCAACGATGATGACAAAGAGAATCGATTTTAGGTCAATAACTATGTTTTATGGAAATTCCCGAAGGTTTCTTGGCCTTAACTGCAAACATGCCATTATCCCTCTTGCTCTACTTTTTAGCTCCAACCTCACAGCAAATGATGCTGTCGAAGTTCTACTTTGGTGAAATAAACTTGTATTATTACTGATCTTTTTGTTGACCTGCTACTCGACTTTTTATCTGTACGAAGTGTCCTTTATTAGGGAGTAAGTTTGATTTACGTTAGGACCTCTGTTAACTCCAGTTGTACATATAGTTGATATCAATGCTTGTTTGCGAATGTGTATGCTTTAACACGTCGAAATATACCGTAGAGATAATATTGACTTTAATTTCATTCGCCATACAGTTTTTTAGTCAATGCAATTTAGGCACTTCAGCTACCACAAGGTGCGTACTGATGAAGGGTTCCAAACTAGGACTAAACAGCTATCCAGTAATCCCAGGGTTTCCAGCGGTTCTCTAACTGATGTCAGCTTATGATGAAACCCTCCAACTAATCAAACACAATGTCAACAAAACCAGTACTCCCAAATTTTAATGTTAAATAGTTCCTGTTGTAATCGATTATTTGTTCTGTGATCAGCAGTCTTCTCAGCATGTGTTTGATCCACTTATTATGTCTGTTAAATAATAGATTCTTGACTAGTCCACCAATGCTGAAAGAGTTTTGTGTTAATAATCGTTCCTAAATAGATACTTGATTTTCCGTACAGAGCCATAGAACGCAGCTTCTATTGGGAGTTTTCAGTAACATGTTAGAAATAGTTTTGGTGAAATACTGATTCTCTGAACTGTATTAGCATTTTCTTGATTCTACACACTACTGATTGTTTGGAATCAGTAGTTTGATGCCACTAAAGTCAACCGGCAGTATTCAAAAGTTGGTTTTTAGGGATTTGATTGATTGGTTGCAGGATTTCATCATGAGCTGACAACAGTTAGAGAACCATTGGAAAACCTGCAGAGAGTACTGCACAGGCGTTTCGTCGGCTTAGTTTGGGACTCTTCACCAGTAAGCACCCACCGCCAGCTTTCGAACCCAGGACCATCTGGTTACAGGGTGAGCTAGGTCGTAGACCATTAAGCCACTGGGACCCGATTCAGTGGCTAGTCCATGAATTCTAACTTCTGCCAATTCATGACTTAGCGCACTCACTTCGCAATGTCTTCTTCGATAAGTTACTACCTCACGTTCACTGGATGAAATATCTGTCCAGTACTCCTAGATCTCGCAATGGTTCTCTAACTGATGTCAGCTTATGATAAAATCCTCCAAACAATCAAACTAAATGCTAAGAAAATCAATACTTGAGAATGAAATACTTATTAATTAATTGATAAATAATTACTACAAAAAATGCTGGTTAGAAAAATAGAGGTGGTTTTTTAACCATGATCAATGGTTTAATTATTATCGTGTTTTAAAGTGGCCGGAATGTTTTCAAGATCTCAGGAAGATTGATTGATAACTCTTATAATACCGAATTGTTTCAGGTAGATGAAGGAAATCAGCAGGGGTTCTTGCTTTACCCAGGTTTTGCGACCGTTGGCACTTGTCAACAAGGTGTATGTGCAGTCTTGAAGGAACTTTTTTCCCCTCTGAGTTTCGAGCCCGCATCACCTATTGTTGAAATCAGATGTGTACCAGTGAGCTGTTTGGGCTCACGATTTAACCCCTGTAGGACTATGAAGGATATTTTGATAGAACGCACAGCAGTAACTAATGTTGTGCAACTGGTTCTTATTGTTAATGCAGACTAAATTCTCTCGGTCAAGTTTGCTGAGATACGCCTTACTGATGAGTGTCAACAAGCGTGAAACCTCGGTCTACAGCCTTCTGTCGATCGTCTAAAACAATCTAACTGCAAATAAGAGTGCACTGTGAGGACTATCCACTCATTATCATGGCATCATTGTGAACGTGACTGATAGAATTCACTCTGCACCAAACACTAAGGACTAGACTGATGACATTAGGTACTACCTTGAATCCAATCAAAATAGTCTTATAAATCCTTGGGTAGAATAAGTGCTACCTCATATCTGTCTTCATCTGACAGTATCCATATGCCAGATCAATGGTAAAGTATCGCAGAGATCCACTGAATGCATCCAGAGTTTCGTTTATCTGAGATAGGGGAAAGGAATCTTTCTGAGTAATAACATTAGCGGGATGATTCGCCTTTTTTCATGAGTAGAACAACAGGGAATGTGGACGACTTTATAATCTCATTGTATAATATTTTACCTATCATT